GAGTGGACCCGGAAGTGTTGCCGTTTTTTGGTATCGATTCGTATGTAGCCAGAAGTGGATCCATCCTCGTGCGTTCGTTGCCAGCGATGGTTCAGACACGTACCAAGCATACCGATGTGCACCCAATCGTAGTTTTGGCATGTTTATCCGGACACGAATAGTCTGATTTCCTCCGCGTTGCTACGTTTTTTTTCAAAGCCTGGCAATGGACTCCACCCGAAGCGGGACGGGGTCGGAGCCGGGACTTGACCCACGGGGCGACTCGGCACGTTGTTTTTTTCGTTCGCCTCTTGTTCGGGGGTGGGCAGCCCTCCCACCCTGACACGTCGATCAGTGAATTGTCCGTTTTCGGTTCTCGAGAGGGCGCCGCGGCCGTCATTTTCCAGGCTTGCGCCCGCCAGGTTTGGGCCCGAGGTCGTTTTCACGAAACCACGTTCTACTAAAGTGACGAACAAACAACACACACCCATACCCATAGGGGGATCGGAGAAGGCTATGGGTGCGTGTTGTCGGATGGGGGTCCCCGCTCGAACGGGAGCGTTCCCCAGGGTCCGACGACCCGCACCCATACCCATCGCCAGTCCTCCTCCCAACGACCCCCCCTATGGGTATGGGTGCGTGTTGTTCGTTCGTCATAACGGGGGTTCTGCCCATCCCCGACTTTGCACGCACGAATTCGTGGTGTGCCGGCTCGGCACCGAAGACGCGAGGCCCACGAGTCCCCGCATGTGGGTCTCGAGCGGCGCAGCGCTCTCGCACCGTGGCCGGGAGGTCGGGCGGCTGGCCCTGCCAGGTGGGCAGCCCTCCCCTTCCACGTGCTGGAGGGTTTCTCCGAAGGGCTTAGGCGACCCGTCCTCCTGCTCCTCCTCCTCCTCCTCCTCCTCCTCCGCCTCCTCCTCCTCCTCCTCCTCCTCCGCCTCCTCCTCCTCCTCCGCCTCCTCCTCCTCGGGTCGCCTACGGCCCCGGGGGAAACCGTGCACCACGTGCCCCACCCCGTGCCGCTTCCCAGCGCGCCCAGCTTCTTCTCTGAAGTCGGGCTTGTCCCTCTCCATGAGGAGTGTTCAACAATAGACAAAAAATAGTCAGGGGACTATTTTTGGGGGTAGTTTCTGCCCGCTTTGAAATATTTGTGGGTATGTTTTATTTTTCGTCGAAAGTCCCCCTGTAGGGGGATACACCCGACTCCTCCCTGCTCCCATACCGCCCTCGCGCTGGCCAGGCAGAGTTTTCGTGCGCCCTGTCTTCCCAGTCCATAGCCTGTTGCATTTGTGTGCGTATTGACTTCGAGCGCCTGTTTCACTAGGACATACTTGGGCGTTCCGCGGCAAAACCCCCTGACCAACCAGGCTCCCAGCCAGTGGATTGTTCTGACACTCTCGGAAGTATTCCACGCCTGTCCGCCGTGGCGTGCTGCTTGACTCCCTGCAGCGAACTTGACTATGTACTTCCTCCGTTCTCTACTCTCGACTTGCTACTCTCTACATGTTGATATATCTCTCTCTCTCTCTGTTGTTGTTACTCGTCTCTCTTTCTCTCTATCTCCCTGTGTGCCTCGTCATTTGTTATGCACGTCTCCAGTGTGAATGTTAAACTATATGCATATTTATGGGCGCATGCATGTATGTATATATGTGTATCGTATGTATGCATGTATGTATGTGTATCGTGCCCATATCACTCTTACTCTCTCTCTCTGTCTCTCTCTCTCTCTACTCCGTCATATACGTTTCCTCTCTCTATAGCTCTTCTAGTACATGGCTGCTTCATTATCTCTCTCTCTCTCTCTCCCTCTCTTGCTATATCTCTCTCGAGATGTGTATATATATATATATATATTATGTCTGCATTTTGATCTATGTAACGTATCAGTTTGATTGGTTGTTCGAATTTAAAGCCGGGAACATGTGTGTACATATGCATGCGTATACATGTTTATGCAAAACGTGTGTTCATGTATGTATTCGCGTAAGAAACGTCAACAATCAATATTTACGCATGCACGATACCTTCTCACTCTTACTCTGTGTTGTGGTGTATATGTGTGTTGGTATGTACTCGTCTTATGCTGCCAGTGTTCTCAAATAACGTGCGCATTCCAGAAGTATGTCCCTCTCTTTCTGTATACGTATGTAGTTCGGCCTGTTGCCCCCCTCCCCTGCTAAAAATCGATTGTCGTTTTCCTATTGAAATTCTCCACATCAGGATTCCGAGTGAAACCTTCAAACGAAGGCGAAAGAGGCGGATGAAGAGGAGGAGGAGGAGGAGGAAGACGAAGAGTTGGTGGAGTTGGTGGAGTTGGTGGAGGGAGGTCAGGGCAGAGACCCTGGAGAGTTGGCGGAGTTGGTGGAGTTGGTGGGCCGCCATCTCCACCAACTCCACCAACTCCGCCACTTATCCATGGCCTCAGCCCTGGCCTCCAGCCACCAACTCCCCAAACTCCACCAACTCCACCAGCACCACCAACTCTCCAGAGCCTCCTCCCTGGCCTCCAGCCACCAAGCTCCACCAAGTCCACCAGCTTCAGGAATTGGCGCCGGTGGAGTTGGTGGAGTTGGTGGCGTGTTGTCAGGGCGGACGCCATGTGGTGTTGATGGAGTTGGTGGAGTTGGCGGCGGCCCACCAACTCCACCAGCTCCACCAACTCGGTCCACCAACTCGCCAGCACCAATTCCCCCAATTCTCCAGGGCCTCTGCCCTGACCTCCCGCCACCAATTCCACCAACCCCACCAGTTCCAGGAGTTGGTGGAGTTGGTGGGGTTGGTGGACTTGGGGGGCCGCCGCCAACTCCATCAACTCCACCAACTCTCCAGGGCCTCCGCCATGAGCTTCCGCCACCAACTCCACCAATTCTGGGCCTCCGCCCTGACCTCCCGCCACCAAATCCACCGATTCCACCAACTCCACCAGCTCCAGGGATTGTTGGAGTCCCGTGAAGTTGTGGAGTTGGTGGGCCCAAGAAACCAACGAAACCAGCACTACAGGTATATTTAGCCTTCTCTCATATGTATATACATATATGTACGTGGACTGGCGTGTGCATGCCCATTTCTCTATCTCTCTCTCTCTTTCTTTATTTGTTCGCTTTTCGCCTGTTACGACGTTGTTTATTGATGAACCCCTCACAACAAGACATGAGTCTTATTCTCTTAGGTGTACTCCCTGCTCTCTCTCCCTCTCTCTACTCCTGCGCTAAATTATCTGACATGTACTGTTTTATCTTCTGTCGAGTCTCATTCTAACCGTGGTCGTAAGGCACCAATCATAGCCAAGAGCTTGGCCAGAAAATCTGGACCCAGAACTGGGAACCCAGGCAACCGGCCGCCCACCAAAATAGCCCCAGAACCAGGAACCCGGGAACTGCCCATCGAAATCGGTTCGGAACCAGGAGCCCAGGAATCCGGCCGCCCGCCGAAATCGGCCCGGCACCTTCTGGTTAGTTTTTCAGCATCCAGTGGGCCTTTTCAATGCAAGCGTTGGTTGAGGAAAATCGTGTATTTCGCCATGCGGCTGTGCGTCGCCAGGCCTCTTGATATGCGCGCACCCTTGTTCTCTTTAGCCCCATCGCCCGTTCTTTTGATAAACGACAGATGCAGCGCTATATCCGTAAGGGCTTCGCCCCCTGCCGCCGGCCCCCTCTCTCGGAGAATGGGCCAAGGAAGAGCGAAGTCATGAGGCTTTGGCTTCGCCGTGAAGCAGTGTCGGGACCTGTTTGTTTTTCGACCCTGACCCTACGGATCTGCATGAGGGGTGCCCCCGAATTTCAGAAATGTGGCAAATCGCTTGTGTTTTTGGACCCTGACCCTGCCGATCTGCGTGAGGGGTGCCGCCGAGTTTTCAGACATGTGGCAAATCCCATGTGTCTTTGGACCCGGACCCTGCCGATTTTGTAAGAGGTGCCGCTGAATGCCAGAAATGTGGCAAATCCTTTTTGTTTTTGGACCCTGACCCTACCGATATGCATGAGGGGTGCCACCGAATTTTCGAACTGTAGCGAATCCCTTGTGTTTTTGGGCCCTGACCCCGCCGATTTGCGTGATGGGTGCCGCTGAATGCCAGAAATGTGGCAAATCCCGTGTCTTTTTGCACCCTGACCCCGCCGATCTGCATGAGGGGTGTCACCGAATTTTAGAAATGTAGCAAATCGCTTTTGTTTTTGGACCCTGACCCCGCCGATCTGCATGAGGGGCGCTACCAGATTTCAGACATGTAGCAAATCCCATGTGTTTTTGAACCCTGACCCCGCCGATCCGCGTGAGGGGTGCCACCGAATTTCAGAAATGTAGCAAATCTCATATTTTTTTGGACCCTGACCCCGCCGATCTGCGTGAGGGGTGCCACCGAATTTCAGAAAATGTAGCAATCTTATATGTTTTTGGGCCCTGACCCCGCCGATCTGCGTGAGGGGTGCCACCGGATTTCAGAAATGTGGCAAATCCCGTATGTTTTTGGACCCTGACTCCACCGATCTGCGTGAGGGGTGCCCCCCAATGTTTCAGATTTGTGGCAAATCCCTTGTGTTTTTGGACCCTGACCCCGCCGATCTGCGTGAGGGGTGTTAATTTTTATTCACCCCAGCAGTTCAGACAATACGATTTGGGCGTGGTAGAAATGCCTGTTTTGGGCCTCCCCCCCTCACGCGGTCCATCAACAAGGAACAGCAATCAGCAAGAAGTCAACAAGGAACAGTAAGCAGCAAGAAGCAGAACTGTAACAGTGGAAACTGGAAGCTGCAACTGGTACAGGAAACTGCGAACCTCTGGCCTACAGCCTGGTGGCCCCACAAGGGGGCCGGCGGATTTTGTTGCGACCCGGCAAACAGGCAGTTCTAGCTGAGCGCACCAAGGAGTGAGGGATACGTTGCGAAGTAGGACGTCAGACGCAGTGTCAGAGCAATGGTCTCATCATGTCCTCTGCCCTCTCTCCCCTTTCCCGTCCTCTCCCCCTTCCGTTTGCTGTTCTCCTCCCAATCTCGTTCTCATTTGCCCCCACCCCGCTGGAGGGCACGACTGCAGCATCGTCGCTATGGCGGCGCTCCCGGCCACGGACTACGAGTTTGTCAGCGTCGACGTCGAAGGCGAGTCGGGCAGTGCCAAGGGTCGGCCACGCGCAGAATGGGGGTAGGGGGAGGGGGAAGGCTTCTCAGAAGCACCCCTACTTCTTAGGAGGCGCGGGCCGTAATTTCGATGTAAGGCAGAAGCAGCCTCCTTGCACGAAACCTTAGCCTTCCCCCCCTACCCCTACCCCCTTCTGCGCGCCCACAAGAGTCAAGGGAGGACAGACCACCCGGACCCGATAAGTGGCGCTTACGAAACGGCCTCGGGCGTTTACGGAAGAGCCCCGCCGTGTTCGCTTCTTTCTGCGGGTGCGTTTGCGAAGCGGCTTCGCAGGTCGGGTTGATCCTTCCGGGGGTTGGATGGAGTGTCTGCCCGCGAAATAATGGGGGGGGTCACCGCATGGCGGGTCGCCAGTTCCTCCCGCAGCGCGACGCGCCAGGCTGGGAGCTCGAGGACCGAAGAAGAGCAACCGCCACAGGCATGAGCTTTGTGCGCTCCGCGCGGACTCCTCGCATCCGTGCTGGGCCCCACCGGCGGCGGACGTCGAAGAAGGAACACATCCAAAAGCACAGATTTGCGACGGTCCGAGTGGACTTCTCGCATCCGGGCCGGGCCCCGCCGGCGGCGCCTCCGGCGCCGCCCCTGGTGCGCTGCGCGCGCCAGGGAGGAAGGCTCCAGCGCAGAGCCGAGAAGTCCGCGCGGAGCGCCAAAAGTCTATGCTCTTATGATTATGTTGGCTCCTCTTGGAGGCTGCTACGATGCTTCTATGATGCTGCTATGCCTTTTTATCATGCTGAAATGCTGGGTCCTCGAGGAGGAGGAGGAGGAGGAGGAGGAGGAGGAGGAGGAGGAGGAGGAGGAGGAGGAGGAGGAGGAGGAGGAGGAGGAGGACGAGGAGGCTCCTGGACGCCCTTGGTCGCCTTGGAGTGCCCCCCCCGCAGTGCTCTGGTGGGGCCCGGCACCTCTCTCTCCCTCACTCGAGGGGGGGGCGGCCCCGATCCCCTCGGCGGCGATAGCCCCCCGCGGAGGGGCCCCCCCTCCTCTCGGCAGCGCCTGGGCGTGGCGTGGTGTGCACATCTCTTCTTGGCGGAGGGCCATCGATCAGAGTCCTGGGCCATCGTGTAGCACAAACACGCACACACACACACGCACCTGCACACACACACACACACACATTCACACACACACACACACACATTCGCACACGCACACGCACACGCACACGCACACGCACACACACACATTCACACACGCACACACACACACACACGCACGCACACGCACACGCACACGCACGCACACGCACACGCACACGCACACACACACACACACATTCGCACAATCACACGCACACGCACACACACACACACACACATTCACACACGCACACGCACACGCACACGCACACGCACACGCACACGCACATGCACACGCGCACGCACACGCACACGCACGCGCACACACACGCACTCACACGCACGCACGCACGCACACATACACACACACACAAACACACATCTTCACACGCACACCCACACATCTTCACACGCAGGTTCACACACATGTTCACACACACACATGCACACTTTTTTCCCGTAGGCAGCCGCACGCGCGTCCGAGTGACCCTGGGGCGCGGAGCCACGAAGTGGCCCACAGGCAGCAGGGGAGGCACAGTCACACACACGCACACGAGGCCGAACAAGGCAGAGGTCATGGACGTCCGAGCGACGGCACGCTGCAGGCACTGCCGCAGTGGGGATGCGCCCGCGCCCCCCGCCGCCCCAGAGCTCTGCCCGGGGCAGAGCCGAGCAGCTGGGCAGAGCTGGCACGGCGCCGCTGAGGCTCGGCACCCTGCCGGATGTCGGGGCGCCGGGAGCGGACGTGTGCCCTGGGCGCAGCAGCCAGCGAAACACGGGACGCTCGATCAGAGGAGCGCGAGCTGAGACAGCGGTCGTTGGCCTTCGTGGGGGGCTCCTCGTCGCCGCGGTTGGGCGCGGCTCAGGAAGGCGGCGGCGCTTCGGGGTGCCCGGAGGGATCCAGTGACCGATCTCGAGAGGCCGTCGTCTTGGCCCGGCCTGGTCCGACGTGAAGTGATCCACCCAACATGGTGTTCTTGGAGCTGCCAGAGGGAGCGGTGACCTGGCGTCCGCCGGCCCTGGTGCCAGAATCGGAGATGCAGGGCGCGCGCCCGTCATGAGGGAAGCAGTAAAGATTGCGAGCGGAGGCCGGCCGCTGCCTCGGGCGCCCCTCCCCCTGCGAGGGGTGCACAAGAGATCATTCCTTCATAGGCTCTTGGGGGTGGGTAACACGTGTTGCCCCTCCCCCCCTCCCCCTCCCCTCCCCCCCGTAGCGGTAACGCCTGGGTCCGGCCACAGGCGTGCATCCTTGCAGTCTCCATCGGATTACGCATCCCCGTGAGGGGGAGGATGGTCACGGATGAAGCCTTCGGCCGCGGATCGGGCTCGCACACTGCAGCCCCCAGGGGTCCCCGCACAGCGGAGAGGACAAGGGGGGGGGGAAGGCGAGAAGGAGCGGGGGCGAGGGCGGTATGGGGGAGAGAAAAAGCAAGATCATCAAAATAAAGCATGTAGTCGAGGCGACAGGAAACTAGGTTCTTCGAGGCGACGGAAACGGCGGGGGCGGAAGCGAAAGTGGGCTCTGGCCAGTGCGAGAGACCTGCCACGCCGCCTAACGTGGCGGACGGCGGGCGGTTACGACACCGAGGTGCTTCGTGAGGAGCACTGGCCGATGCCCCAATTCTCTCTCGCATTCGCTGGCCGCCGCCTCTCTGCACGAACGAAACGGGCACGGAAAGAATGGGTACAATGCCCAACAGCGGATCTGGTTCATTTTGAACAGGACTCGCTGTCCACGCCGCCGAGGCCTGTGTCCATTCGAGACAGAAGGCCGCCTGCCCAACAGCGGCCGCTGTTGGTTTGGGACAACATTTGTTGTTGGGCATTGTACCCATTCTTTCCGTACCCATTTCGGGCGTCCAAAGCCTCCTCCTGACCCTATGCCCACAGGTGGTCCTGTCGAATCAGGGTTCCTACGGGGTGGCATTCCAGGTCGGGGAAGCGAGCTTGCCGTGGCAGAGGTCCGCATTCTGATGAGAGTCATTGGCCGGGGCGCCGCCCAGCAGTTCCTCCCCTCGGGGAGCGGGACGGCCGAACGGGTCCGCGCGCCTCCCTTGCGCTGGGTTCCGGCGCGTGGTTTCGCAGGGGTGGACCAAGCCCAGGAGGGAAATAAACACACACACACACAGACACAATGAATCGTCAATTCCCCCGAAAATGTAGGAAAATAGGGGAAGTGGGGGGGGAGACAGAAACCCAGAAAACATTTTGGAAAATATGGGAATTTGTTTTATTTGTGTGTTTATGTGTGTGCCCCAGGGCCTCTTCAATGACGGAGCCTGCCTGCCGAGTGCCAGTGCGTGCAGGGCCAACGCCCTGCGAGCACGCCTGCAGGGCCCCAGCAGCAGAGGCAGAGGGGCCTCACGGGGGCCACAAGAAGCCACCGCGGGGCCCTCTTGGGTCCCTCGTGGTGCCCCCTTGGGCCCCCCTTGGGGCCTCCCTGGGCCCCCTGGTAGGCTCCCCGGGTCCCCTTTGGCGGGCTCCTTGGGCCCCCTCTTGGAGCCTCAGAGCTGTCCTGCGTGGCCCGCCCAGGGAACCCCGCCATAGGCTTGCGGAGGACGATCAATGGAGAGGAAGCATGTTGCCAAATAGTTCCCAGATGACCAACAATGTTTCAACCATGTTTTAAACATGTAAAACAATGTTTAAACCATGTTTGAATTTTTCGATATTTTACACACATGTATTATTCAATGATAGGACTGCTAGGGTGTCCATTGTCGTGGCATCCACAACGCCATAGGGGCACTCTTGGGCGTTAGATGCGGTTCAACTTACATTGCACAGGCCTGGCTTCAGCTTGGCTCTGAGGCAGACATGCAGGGATAGCGACGACGCGCGTGTGCGAAAAGGCGGTTGGGATCGATGTTCCTAAGCATGGCCCCTATTGGGGCTCGCGGGGGGCCCTCGTGGAGGCTCCTGGAGTGCTATGCGGGTGACCTCACGAAGGGCTGGACCCTCCAACGGCATGGGCTGGCCGCGAACGTCGTGGCCTCCTGTGTGGTTACCTTGAGGAGTGCAGCAACGCAGGAAGGGCCACAGCCCCAGCGGTATGATGGCAAGGCATGGGAGAACACAACCCAAGCATGAGCATGAGAACGCACGTGAGGTCAACTCTTCAGCTGGCAATGCATGATGGGGTACAACCCCAGGACCGACAGCGGGTGGGCCAGCACCTCCTTTCAGGAGCCCTAAGGCGGAGTTTGGAACGGCATTCCAAACTCCGCGGTTGTAGCAACGATACCGTATGAGGGGCCATAGCCCCAGCATGAGACTAGCAACGCATGAGGGGCCACACAGCATGCGCGTGGCACCGCACGCGGGGTAAACGCTCCACTTGGCAACGCATGAGGGGCCAGAGCCCCAAGACCGATAGCGGATGGGCCAGCACGCCCAACTCTGCTTTAGGAGCCCGAAGGTTGATTTTGGAGCGGTGAACCAAGCCCGCCGCTGGAGCAAAGCAGGCCGACCTGTGGGTGGAGAGCAGGAGGGGATGCATTGCTTGGGGGATGGCAGCGCGTGAGGGTCCACGTGCCCAGCATGAGTATGGCAACTCATGATGGGCCACAGCCTCAGCATGCGTATGGTAATGCACGAGGGGCCACCGCCCAGAGTATGGCAACTCATGAAGCACTTTTCCGCTTGGGCCAAATCGGGGTTGGGGGCCACCGTTGGCAGTGCACAACACCGTTCATCCCACTTCGTGGGATAGGTACTTTCTGAAGACAGAGCTAGCCTACTCATGCACAACATCGTTTATCCCACCTAGTGGGATATATGTTTTCTGAGCACAGAGCTAACCTACTCATGTTCCAGGAGCCCTTTGGTCCAGACCTCCTGCCTAATTTCAACAATTCGGGGATACCCAACGGGAGCGGCACAATGCCATCGATGACATTTTTCCTCACAGCGTCGACGAGTGTCGAATCGCATTCCTCTGAGGGTGTCCGGCTGAAGGTCCACCCATTGTTTGATTTGTATTCGCTCTGAAGCAAGTGTGGCCCCATGAGGAGGAGGAGGAGGAGCAGGAGGAGGAGGAGGAGGATGAGGAGGAGAAGGACGAGATGGAGGAAGAGGAGGAGGCGGAGGAGGAGGGGGAGGAGGGGGAGGAGGAGGGGGAGGAGGAGGGAGAGGAAGGGCAGGAGGAGGAGGAGGAGGAGGCGGACGACGACGATCGACGTGGCCCGGAGGCTCCCGAACGTGCACAGGCATTGTCGTTGTGACGTCGTCGTCGTCATCGTCGTTGTCGTCGTCGGCGTCGTCGGCGTCGTCGTCGTTGTAGTCGTCGTCAACATCGTCGTCGTCGTTGTCGTCGTCGTCGTCATAGATTTCCTCCTCTCGTCGTCCTCGTCTTCTTCATTATATTGCAAGGTGTTTCGCACAAGGGCTGTGTCTTCGACAGGCGCTGTGCTGTTGTGTACACACGCGCTTTTGTGCACGCAGTTGCTGCGGTGAACGGCCACGGTGTGGTGTACACGGCTGGTGTGACGTGCGCAGCCGCTGTGGTGTACAAAAACGGTCAAGTGCACACAGGTATAGTGGTGTGTAATCGCACTTTTGCGCAAGCGTGTGATGAGGTGCACGCAGTCGCTATGGTATACACAGGCGATGTCGCGCCTTGGTGCGCGAAGGTGCTATGTGAACAGAGGCACCGCGTTGTACACAGGCGCTGCGGTGCACGCGGGCGATGTGGTGAACACACCTATGTTGCGCCGGTGTTGTTGGCGCGCCTTCGAGGGTGCACGCTGGCCGCCGTTACCGTTACCCCCCCCCGCCCCCCCCACCTGGGTGACACGTGTTGCCCCCAATGGGTAGCAAAAATGACCTTCACATCACAGGGAGGCAAGGGATCGCCGCCCCAGCGAGGAAGGGGAGGCAGGAGAGAGCGAGCCAAGGGGGGCGCAGAGGGGAAGGGGGGAGGTCGGCGGCGAGCCCCGTGGGTGGGGTGAGGAGGAACAGGCCTTCTCGGCAGGCTCGGAAGCCACCCGGCTCCCTGGGGAGGTGTCCGAACCCTCTTCGAGGACGCAGCAAGAACTGCTCAGAGGGCCAGAGGGCTTCCGAGAAGCCCCGCCGCCCTCCGAGAATGCCTTCTCCGTCTCGCGTTCCCCCCGCGCCAGCCGCCGAGGAGGGCCCTGGCGCGATTGGCAGGAAGCACGATGTGATTCGGGATGGCACATGAGCGACGAAGCAAGACGGGTTCGTCTTCACCGACATTGGCGCATAAGCTGTCCGCGCAAGTTCGAGCGTACACGACCTCGTTCACAATGCAGCGTACCGCGCTGGCGGCCCGCGTACGCCACCGCGTGACGTCGCTGTGCAATTGTTGCGTAAGACCCCTTCCTTTAGTTGCTCGGTTTCGGGACCCTTCTAAGGCCCACTTAACGGATCTGTTCGACTCCAGTTCGACTTTGATTCAATTAAAGTTCGATTCGAGTTCGATTCAGGTTCGCCTCGAGTTTGGCTCACATTCAGCTTGAGTCGACGGACGTTCGACGCAGCTTCGACGCACGAGTGGAGCGCGTGGCTCCAGGAAGGTCCCCAGAATGAGCATCTAGCTTTCTTTTCGTCGCGCAAGAATGCTATTTTTCAAACCGCTGGGCGAATTGTTTGCCTCCTGCGAGGTGTAGTGAAGGTGTGGGACGTCCGGCGCCTGAAGGTTCACGAGGCTGGCGCCGACTGGCCCCCCTACGAGCAAACGACTCGTACTGCCGCAGGTCAAGTTTCGCGATGAACTGGGATGAGCGACAGAGGAAGGCAGGAGGAGGAGGAGGAGCAGGAGGAGCAGGAGGAGCAGGAGGAGCAGGAGGGAGACAGGAGGAAGACACGAGGGAGGAGGGAGAGGAGGTGGAGGAAGGGGGAAAAGGAGGAGCAGGAGGAGGAGGAGGAGGAGGAGGAGGAGGAGGAGGAGGAGGAGGAGGAGGAGAGGAGGAGGGAGGTGGAGAGGAGGGAGAGGGGGAGAGGAGGTGGAGGAAGGGAAGAGGAGGAGGAGGAGGGGAGAAGGGGAGGGGAGGGAGGAGGGGAAGAGGGGGAGGAGGGAGAAGGGAGCAGGAGGAAGAGGGAGGGGGAGGAGGAGAGGAGGGGAAAGGGGAGGTGCAGCAGGAGGGGGTGGAGGAGGAGGAGGAGGAGGAGGAGCAGGAGGAGGAGGAGGAGGAGGTGGACCTTGATCGGGGCGCCCTGCTCTGCTCCAGGTCCGCGGGGGTCCGACGCCTCTCTCGGAGTGCCTCCCGAGCTGGGGGGTGCCCGAGGAGCAGGCCGGATCACGGTGACGAGGCACGCACGCTGCCGGAAGGAAGGCCGGGCCCTAGAGTGGTAGAGGGGGGTGGTGGGGGAGGGGGGGAGGGGGATGAGGGGAAGGAACGGGAGGACGAGGACGAGGAGGGGGCGGAGGCTGAGGCGGAGGCGGAAGCGGGGGAGGCGGAAGCGGGGGACGCGGAAGCGGAGGAGGAGGAGGAGGAGGAACGGGATGAGGAGGAGGAGGAGGAGAAGAAGGAAAAAATGCAGGAGGAGGAGGAGGAGGAGGAGGAGAAGGAAGAGGAAAAGGAGGAGGACGAAGAGGAGGAGGAGGGGGGATGAGGAGGAGGAGGAGGAGGAGGAGGAGGAGCAGGAGCAGGAGCAGGAGCAGGAGCAGGAGCAGGAGCAGGAGCAGCAGCAGGAGCAGCAGCAGGAGCAGGATGAGGAAGAGGAGTCCGGTGCGGAGGAGGTGGAAGAGAGAGGCATTCTGGCCTTGGTAGGGAGGTCCCCGCCACCCCCGCCCCCAAATAACAATTCAAAATGCTCGCTTGGAGCGTGTGGTCCAGATTCAGCCGCCGCGTGCGCTTTGCATTTTTCAAATGGATGGCGGGGGGGCATGGTTTCCGGTCGGTGGCCAGTCGAGTGGGGAAGGTGGTGCCGCGCATACGGAGCAGTGACACATAACCCCCTCTACGAAAGAGAAGGATGTCGAGAGATTGAGCGCGCCAAGCCTCCTACTCCCAGAGTGCTGGCAGGATTGTTGTTAGTGGGTTGGTGTCTGTGTGTGTATGTGTGAAAGAACGTAGTCGATTTTGCGTTTCATTTACCCAGCATTTAGCTGGCACGTTTGTGCTGACACCTGCCGCCCACGATCATGTAGCAGTGTCCATGCGATTCCTGCCTCAGCACGTCTCTCATCGCTTGCCAAGCCATGGCAACACGATCTGCACAAGCTGTCCTAGTTGTGGGCAGGATGTGGCAGGGCTTGTGTTGTTGTTTGGTGGGGGCTGGGTGCGAGACGCAGTGTCCTTAATGGCTGGGCCGTGGGTTTTGCTTGTCCCGTCTCGATGCAGGTCGTCTTCCACACAGCGCTTTGCACCCACCCAGCCCCCGATCCCTGCAGACTCCGCAAACGACATCCTCAACGAACTGCGCGGCGCCGGCCCGCGCCGCGCAGCCGGCGCCCGCGCGGGAGCCCTCGGCCTCGGAGCCGTGGAAGGAGTGGCACGTCTGACCAGCGGCAGCCGTCGGCGGGCGTGGATGAAGGCGGCGAGGGGGCGCAGGCCGCGGGGCCGCGGTACCGCCGTCGGCCTCTGTTCCGACGTGTCCGCGCCCCCTTAAAGGTCTGGCGCAGGGGCGGCGGCTTTGTCGAAAAAATGGCGTTGCCTTTGTTGAGTCTCGTCGTTGGCAAGCCGAGACTGGGCGGCCCTGCAGTTGATCAAATGTTTCACTAAAGCACAGGACTGGAGGAGGGGCAGTAGGTGAAGGAGGAGGAGGAGGGGGAGGAGGAAGAGGAAGAAACAAATGACTGGGAGAGGGGAGCGCTGGGACAATAGTAGGGGTGGCGCTGAGGGCAGGCACCTGCCATGGAGGAAGTGGCGCAGATGGCAGGTCGGGCTCGAAGAGTTCCCATGGCGCGCCGTTTTTACCTTAGTTCAGCTAGGGTCAGCAGATCACGCAGAGTTTCCACGCGACGGACCTGCGGGCGGAGAAGGCCGGCAGCTGAACGTTGGTGCGCAAATCTCGGTGTTATTGCAGCCTTTCTATAAAACAGTTCTTGCGATCACAGTGCTCTCTTCGACGATACGATGCATGCATTACCCACTGGTGCTTGTAGCCTAGACTGGGCTTTGGCTGTGCCAGTGCGTTCCTGCTTGTGTACGTTTCAGATCAGCCGATGCAGAGTGGCTCGGCGACTCGTTACCAAGCTATGCGAAGTTCCCGAGGCAATCAGTATTCACGGCTGACTCAGCATCGGGTTCACTGGCAAGATTGATTTTGGCAATCGGAGTGTTGTGGTGATGATTTCTTCGTGTGGTAAGCTCTTCGCCTCCTTCGTCGCCATTGTCCTCGTTGATCTCTCCCTCACCCGCCTCAATCCTCGTCCTCGTTTGCCCCCACCTTCCCCTTCAGTATTACTCCTCTACCATACCCTGCTTCTTCCTCCGTTCCGCCATTTCGTTGTTTTGCTCACGAAATACGGAAGAATAAGAGGATGCTGGAGGAGTGATCAGGAGGGTCCGCCGTTCTCTCTTCACTCACACAGCACGATATGTAAGCAATCCACAGCTCAGTTGCGGGGACCGCTGCTGCCTTGTCTCAAGTCGACAAGTGCCCTGCTTCCAAGGCTAGTGGCCGATCGTTGGAATACTCTCGGTCATCAGTTCCCTTGGTTGTCTCTCGTCTGCCCATCCTCTCCCAAATGAGCGTGCGAAGGGAAGCGCCGCTGAACAGGCGGGCCCGCGAGGTGCCAGTGCAATCATACGCTTTGTTCGTTGCATCATCCCCCCTCCTCCCTCCTCCTCCCTCCTCCCCATGCCCCGCCCCGCCCGCGAGCCAGGCCGGAGAGGTCGAGTCCCTCGACGCCCGGGCCATATGCCCCCTCGGGCGGGACCGGATCCTCGTCTCGGGCCGCAGGCCAGCGCTGGGGGGGCGGGGGGCGGAAGAGGGCGGAGGGAGGAGGAGGAGGAGGTGGAGGAGGAGGAGGAGGTGAAGGAGGAGGGAGGAGGAGGAGGAGGAGGAGGAGGAGGAGGAGGAGGTGGAAGGGAGGCAAGCAAAGAAGCGGTGGTGGAGCGCCACGTTCAGGGCAGGATCACGGCTTCGCACTCCTCGACCACGTTGCCGAAGAGCGGCGCTGGGCGCCCCTGGGGGAGCGTGGGGCGGATGGGGGTCAGAGCCCTGCGCGCTCCCCGCTCCCCCCGCCCCCCCGCCCCTCCTCATCCTCCTGGCTCGTCATCATCTCTTCCTCCTCCTCCCCGTCAATCCTCCTCCTCCCTCCTCCTCCTCCCCCTCCCTCCTCCTCCCCCTCCTCCTCCTCCTCTCCTCCTCCTCCTCCTCCTCCTCCTCTTCCTCCTCCACCTCCTTCTCTTCCTCCTCCTGCTCCCTCCTCCTCCTCCTCCTCCCTTCTTCTCCTCCTCCTCCTCCTCCTCCTCCCTCTTCCTCCTCCACCTCCTTCTTCCTCCTCCTCCCTCCTCCTCCTTCCTCCTCCTCCTCCTCTTCATCCTCATCGTTCTCCTCCTTTGGAGTTGTTCATTCTTGATCTTTGTTCGATTTCTGTGTCCAAGGCCCGTTCTCAGGCCCCGAGGCCACACAGAAATGCAGGGGATGGGGGGATGGGGTAAGTAAGAGCCACGCCGGGGGAACGGGGGGGAGGGGGGTCAGAGACCCGCGCGCCTCCCCCTCCTCCCACACCCCGGGCCCCCAGATCTCCCAGGATAGTCGAGGCTCCAGGGACGAGGGTCAACGCAAACGAGGGTCAGTCAGAGTTCCAGATCTTGCAGGATCCTGCAGAGCCAGGGGCGCATTGACCCGGGCTTGGGCGCAGGATCCTGCAGGGTCTTGCAGGATGTTGCGCAGCCTGACTGACCCGGGTCTGGGTTGACCTGGGTCAGTCGATCTCCGACGATGGCGTAAGTCGAGCGTGTCCCTCTACAGAAGAAATATTCAAAAATGTTACCAGAACAGTCGGGGACGATTTGTTGATTCTGTTTGAGCATTTTGGGTATTTTCTGAGCCTTCTTTATTTTCGCCAAGATTCCGCCTGTAGGAGGACCTGAATCCGCCTGTATCCGTCTGTATCCCTCTACTTTCGCCAAGAATCCGCCTGTATCCGTTTATTTTCGCCGCCAGGAATTTTGAGTATCGCCAGGAATCCGACCTAACGATAGGCGTTTTTTTAGCCCGTGTGTTCCTCTCGACCTCGGCCTCGCCGGCCCGCGGGCCCCGAATGGGGGCACGAGACGCAGGGGGGGGGGGGTCGGGAGCCCCGGGGCCGCGCACGCAGCGAACCGCGTCGGCGGATGTCGGGGCCGCACCCTCGACCCTCGTCGTCCTCAGCAGGTCCTTCCTCTCCTCCTCCTCCTCCTCCTCCTCCTCCTCCCTCCTCCTCCTCCTCCCTCCTCCTCCTCCTCCCTCCTCCTCCTCCTCCTCCTCCTCTCCTCCTCCTCCTCCTCCTCCTCCTCCTCCTCCTCCTCCTCCTCCTCCTCCTCCTCCTCCTCCTCCTCCTCCTCCTCCTCCTCCTCCTCCTCCCCCTCCCCATCCCCCTCCCCCTCCCCTGCGTTGACTGCAGCGGCTTCACTGCTTCTGCTATCCCTCGACTCGCGCTCGCGCTTCCGCGCGACTTACTCGAAAACTGTCTGGACAACTCGGGATCTGGCATCCTAAGTTTGAACCCAAAATTTGTTTTGTCCTGGGAGTCTGCGAACATACGTAGCATGATCCGCAGATCTTCGAACATGGTGTGTGTGTATATATATATATATATACGCATGGGCCGCATGGGTTCGTGAAGCCGGCGCGAAGTCAGCTTTGGGGGTGAATCAAGTCTGTAGTCGGTACCTTATCTCGAGTCCTCCCTGTCGGCCCACTCCCCCCATCGCCTTTCTATCCCCCTCCCTCCGTCGCTTTCTCCTCTTGTCATCTCCTCCTCGCCCTCGTGCGCTTCGCCCTCGTCCTCCATCCTCGAACTTGTGGCCACTAGCTGCTGATTGGCGCATTCAGCATGCTGACCGCAGGGATCTGCTTTTGGCATACGTGAGATCAGATCGTGCCAGTCGAGAACATCTCCCTGGGACTTGACTAGGCGCCCGATCGTCTACTGTGGATTCCATCAGGTCAATGTCGCCCTTCTGCTCCCTCCTCGTCGTCGTTCTTCTCCCCCTATTCCTCCCTGACCTGGTCGCAAGGAGGGACAAATGGAGGTTGAGTTCGCAGCCCGCGAAAGCGGCAGCCTACACCATCCGCTTGGAAGTTTGGTATCTTTTCCTAATCGTTCTCTCTTTCCGTACCTTATTCGTCCTCCTTTCTCCGTTCGCCATTCACTCTCATCTCATCTCCTCTATGTGTTCAGTTTCGTCGAGCGAGAGAAATGGGTACACATCCTCAGTATAGGATTGCAGGATTGCATTGGCACGTGGTAGCATGCAAGCATCCGCCAAGGCTTGTTTTATTTGACCGTCGCGCCAGCGATCCACGTGTGACTGCAGATTTCCCGGTGCACACCATCAGCTTCAGCCGCCGAAAGTTGGAGATCGTGACCCCTGTGAACAACGATGTGTACTTGTGGTGCGCAATCACAGGAGAGACTGTTTCTACATCTTGTAGATGCGCCTTCTGACGAGCACGGGACAGGGTGGGGAGAGGGACGGACGGGAAGCAGTCGTGCAGGGGCGGATTGGGGATGGTGGCAGCATGGGGGGTGGGAGTGAAGAGGCTGGCCTGCGTAGAGCAGAACTGGGGAGGGGAGGTGGGGAGGCGGGGGGGAAGGTCAGCAAGGAAGGAAGGGGGAACGTGGACAAGGAGAGGGGACGGGAGGGCGAGCGGAGCAGGGACGGTGCGGAAGGGCGCAGGAGCGAAAGGGGAGGTCTGGGCACGGGGTGCGAAGGCGGCGCGCTGGGAGCAGTGCGCAGGGGCGGAGGCGGTCGGGAGAGGCACGGCCCAGCGCGGCGGGGCGTCCTCGAGGACGCCCCCGCGGCCATGAAGCGGACGTGCCCTGAGCTCTCCCTCCGTGTTGATTTTGCCTGCTGCCATGCTCCCTGCCCCCTGACGCCGCAGCCTCGTTGGGCTCTTGCGGCTCCGGCGCTGGGTCGGCAGGGGCGGTTTTGGCCCTTTGACAAGAGGCGATCGTACGGACAGCAACACGTCGCCTCCCCGCGTGTGAGGAAATATTCATCACAACGACACTCCGATGTCGGATGGGGAGGGAGGAGGAGGAGGAGGAGGAGGAGGAGGAGGAGGACGAGCAGCATGAGATGAAGAGGAGGAGAAGGAGGAGGAGGAGGAGGAGGAGGAGCAAGGGGTTTGCTGGCCCCATGGTCGGTCGAAAAACGGTTCAGGATGCGGAGCCGGTCCTCGCGCGGGGTGATAGAGTCGGGGTCCACCGGACCTCTCAGTGCCCTGCGCCGTCATGCCAAGCCCGCTGGCTGGCGTCTGGCCCATCCTCTCACCCAGCGCTTCCCCTGGCAAGGCCCGGGTTTGGGCACCAATACATGGCAATCGTGGCATCGAAGTGGCGCCACAAACACCAAGCAAAGTGGCACCAAGCTTCCTCTCACACAGCGTTTCCCTCGTCTCTCTCCTCTAGGGGAACAAGCAATGAAATACACATCAAACACTCGGCGCTCCGCGCTGGCCCCCCTGGCGGCGCCTCTGGCGCCGCCCTCTAGCACGCATCGCGCGCCAGGGAGGGGGGTCCAGCGCCGATTCGAGAAATCCGTGCGGACCTCGAGAGTTGTTCTGTTTATGTCATTGCGTGTTCACCTGTCCATCCTTGTCCCCCCTTCAAGGATGCAGCCGAGGTCGCTGAGCTCTCTCCAGAGGCTCGGCGACATGTATATTTTGGGCCGTCTTTGGGCGCTTCCGTCCAATCTAAGGGACAGTCTGGGGGCTCTCTGCTAATGTGCCGACCCAATCGTTGGCCGAGCAGCTCGGGACTCGGGAAACGTCGAATAAACCACTGTGCTCTTCGTCTGCCTCTCATCTCTTGGCTGGAGGGCTCGTTGAGCACCTCTTGTGTGCTTCCAGGGACCTCTTAGGGGCCCCGCCCTTGGGGCCATCTTGGATGGTCTGTCCTGGCCGCGCACGTGCTTTGGGCCATGGTTTGCGACACCCCTTCGACGCACGGCATCCATTCTACGGTTTCGTGCAAGGGGCGTGGGTTGGTTGCACGAATTGCACAAACATGAATTGTCGGAGGTTCGAGAATGTATGATGTTTAGCGTGATGGGGCCGAATGATCATTCACTGTCCCTGGCTACGTGGCTGAAGTGGGTTTCCGCGGTGCGCATTGATGTTGCTTTGAATTCCCATCCCTTGGAATAATTATGGTTGACCCCCCTCCGGTGACCAATATATTAGTTTAACTAGAATGCTCCTCCCGGAGCTCGCACCCTGTTAACAAAAAACAAGCGAAAGTCCAGGGCCACCAAACTGTGTTATTTACCCCTGGTTTACAACAACAACAGCGGCTTCCGCCTGACCCTTCCTCACCATTTATTTCAAGTTTCGTGCTCTCGCGCGGGACTTCCTCATCATTTATGCAGGAGTCGCGCGCTCACGTGGTACTTGCTCACAGTTCATTGCGGCGCCGTGCACCCAATACTTACGAATCACGCTTGCAGTTAGGATCTCCGAATCACGGGTTGAATGGTACGCCAATAGATGAGCGAGCAGTTTTAACATGATTATTATAGTTGTTGTCGTCCCATACCGCGACCGGGCCCGCGACCCGCCCGCGGCCCGCCCGCGACCCACCCCGACCCAGCCGCGAGCCACCCGCGACGTACCCGCGGCCCACCCGCGGCCCGCGACCCACCCGCGACCCACCCGCGACCCACCCCCACCCCGCGCCCGCCTCCACACTGTCATCCGCAACTGCGGGGTGCTACACAAAACCGTTTCCCATGGTCAGCGCTGGTATTTACCGTCTCTCACTCCTGCCCCTCAGGAATCGCGCGGGTCCGCCGAGGCGTCGCTCTGTGCTCGCCCCTTGGCGCCCGCCGCTGGCGCCACGCGGGCGCCTCGTGCGCTGGGCGGGTCAGCCGAAGTACCGCCTCGTGCCCGCCCGTGGACGTTCGTGGGCGCCTCGTGGGCGCCTCGCGCGCTGGGCGGGCCAGCCGAGGCTTCTCCTGGCGCCCGGCCGTGGGGACCTCGGTGGGCGCCGGGGTGCGCTCCGTGCGCCCGCCGAGGTGGCATCGCTGGGTGCCCGCGCGCGGGTGCCCACGGCGCGCCTCGTGGGCGCCTCGTGCGGTGGGCGGCCGCACAGTGTGCACCGCTGAGCTTTTTTTTTTTTTTTTTTTTTTTTTTTTTTTTTTTTTTTTTTTTTTTTTTTTTTTTTTTTTTTTTTTTTTTTTTTTTTTTTTTTTTTTTTTTTTTTTTTTTTTTTTTTTTTTTTTTTTTTTAATAAAAAAAAAAAAAAAAAAAAAAAGATTTTTCACACCACACAACGTACACACGATAGCTCAAGCCACAACTACAGAACCGCGTATAGCTCACACCACCTGGCTTGCACCACACAGCCCGCACCACGTAGCGCCCACCACACAGCTGGCCAACACCTGCAGCCTACGAGGCACACGTTGCACTGCCCAGGCTGCACCTCATTGCTGTCACCACCTATCTTGCACCACATAGCTTGCACCACATGGGTTGCACCACCTAGTTTGCACCACGTAATTTGCTTATCGACAGTGCGATCACTTACCGATTGAGGTCCACTTTATCAACATCTTTTTGTTTGTCTTGTTTGTCCTTGACGAGCGATCGGATCCCGACCAGGCAGCTCAGGGGCATTATATCACGCCTCAGCGTGTCGAGCGTGCGGTTTCAGATGGTGCGGATCTCAATCAGATGTACTGTACACGCCCTATCTCATCACACGTCCGCGCTCTCAACGACAATGTCCACACCACGCGCGCTCGAGCTTCCACTGATATGCGACGTCACTATTGCCCTGGTGTTCGTGAGGAGAGAAGAGAGTGAGTGAGATAGAGAGAGAGAGAGAAACAACAAAAACGCAGGAAATACAGCAACACGTACTTCGCAGTAACAGATGTACAGTCTGCGCCATGGTGGGAGGGGGAGGAGGGGGTAAAGGGAAGGTGGAGGAGGGGGAGGTGGAGGGAAGGAAGAGGAGGGAGGATGGAGGGGGACGGAGCGAGAAGGAGGAGGGAGGAGGACGAGGAGGAGGACGGGGAGAAGGGAAGGAGGAGGAGCAGGGGGAGCAGGAGGGCTCCTGACGTGGCCTGCGAGCTCTCCAGGACTCGGGAGGCGCGCCTCTCCCTATGCACGGCGCCGCAGGGCTTCCTCGGAGAGCGCCCCGCCGCGACGGAACGTTTTTGTTGTTGTTCCTCAGTTGTTTCATGCATTTGTGTGTGTGTGTGTGTTTCGTTTGTTATTTGTTGTTTTCTGTTTGTTCCGTTTGTTTCGTTTTTATGTTTTGGGTTGTTCCGTTTTGTTTGTTTTTTTTTTCCAGTGTATGTTTTACGGTTTCAGCCATTGAAGTTTTTTCCGTGCTTTGGCGAGCCTTTGTCGGCTCCGCGCGAATGTGTCTTTTGCCAAAGGGGCCTCACATATGTACGCAACAGTTTGTAGAATCGTTCGTGCGGGGGGCGCGCACGTCGTACATGATCAGCACGTGGTTGCGACGCGCCATGCGCCGCAGGGTGGGCTATTGCATTTAATTGTGCGACCACATTGCAAAAGCTCTCGTCCCTCCTCCCTCCTCCTCCGCCTCCTCCTCCTCCTCCTGCTCCTCCTCCTCCTCCTCCTCCTCCTCCTCCTCCTCCTCCGTGCTTTGGCGAGCCCTTGCGGGGCGTGTCCGAGGACGCGCCCGACGATCGCCAATGCTAGTAGGCGGAAACGAGATCCGCAGCCGCGGCCTCGCGGGCCGGGCCCCTGGGCCGCGACCCCGCGGATGCGGCGGGGCGCTTCTTCGCGGACGCCCCGCGCGAAACGCATCCGTGCGACCTCGTATCCGACCTCGAGGGCACGGAGACGGATATTATCGGCGGCGAGCGAGGGGGGAATTGAGAAGGAGAAGGCCTTCTCAGAAGGCGGCGGGACTTCTCAGAAGCACTCGCGCCTTCTGAGAAGTTTTTGTCTGTCTTCGGGGAAGGCTTAGAAAACTTTTCAGAAGTCCGGGGGACTTCCGAGCCTTCTGAGAAGGTACGCTCCTTCTCACTTCCCCCCCTGGCTCGCCGCCTGGATAGAATCACCGACCGTGGAGCACGACGCAAAGCGGGAACCAAAGAATGCCACAGACAGAAGCACTCGGAGGTCCGCGCGGCTTTCTCGCGGATGGGCGCTTGGTCTCGCCCTGGCGCGCGGAGCGCGCCAGGGGCGGCGCCGGGGGCGTCGCCGGAGGCGCCGCCAGGGGGCCGCAGCGCGGAGCTCCGAGGAATCTGCACGGACCTCCGAATTGTCATGTTTATGTCACTGCTCGTTTTCCCAGCTGCGGTATGTCCACCGACCGTGAGACGCGACGCAGGGAATGGCCCGGCAGGACAGGCACTGCGCACGCAGGCAGCACCCTCGGCCACCGCTCAGGCGATGCCTGCCGTGGAACTGTTGGAGACCATCAGGGGGTTAGGCTTGAGTCGGGCCTATGCCTCTACAGGAGGAAGAGGCCTCAACAGTTAGAACATCGTCCTGTGACGATTTGTCCTGTTCTTTCGATTATGTTTGAATATTATTTTGAACATTTTTGGTTTTTCTTGCGAAATCCGGCTGTAGGAGGACATGCCCGACCTCAGGTTCGCCCTGAAACTCCGCCATGCACCTGGGGTGCCGGCGGGCGACAGCGAGCGGTGCGCCGGATGCGGGCGCGTGGAGGGCGGGCCGATGGCCGATTCTGCCGCTGCAGATCCCGAGCGCCTGCGGGCGCGGGCGCGGAGCGTGTCGTGTCTCTGGGATCCTGGCGTTTCAAGTTTTTCGACACGGCGTTTTTCGGGACCTTCTCAGGTGGATCTGGCGGGGGAAGTGCAGCAGAAGGATGGGGTCTGGGGCTCCCGTCGTGGTTTTTCGCGATGGTTACTGTTTGTTCTCGCCGTCGGATCTCAGGCTTGGATTGGGACCCGATGTGTGACCACATCCACCTCTCGATGCTCGATTCTCCAGCAGCCACTGGCGGGGGTGTGCGTGGCAACGTGCTCTTTCCCGGTGAGCGGCGGAAATTACCACATCCACTTCTTTTGAAACCGTCTATCCACAGGTGCCTGTTGCATGTTCCTAGCGGACCGCGAGAGGAACTCCATGAATTGTTCTTGTTTTCCTTGGCGTCCACTGGTCGGGCGACACTTGATGATACGGCGAGCGTTGGGGTCCCCACGTCAGGCCTGAGGTGCCCGACCAGCTGCTGGACTCGGACGGCGTCTGGGCGTTGCTGGATCACCACCACTGTCTACGTTCACGCTCGGACCCTGCGCGTCGAGTCGGGCTCGCCGCAAGGTGCTACGCACTCGCTCACATCTGCGACGAAGTGTAGCAGGCATCTGAGAGACGGCAGACCGCGTTGAGTGTGTGC